TTTCCTATACACGCAAATGAAGATGCCTCTTTTTTTCTGTCCTTTATTCCTCATCTTCTCCATTTCCTCACCAATGGAAGCATATGTGGCCCGCTGCTGTACGCCTCTGTGTTCCATCAACGTCACCTGTGAGGTGTTATTTACTGTAATACTTGTAATATGGCCACTTACGGCATGACGAGCCTGCACGGAGCACCTTCAACATGAAACGTGGAGTTTTTGGGGTGTTTAATGCACTTGCCTTGTCATTTAGTTTACTATAAACGATATTTGCTCAGTTGAAAAGCTTATGAACAAAAACCTAGTTCCTCAGTAGACTTAAATATGTGGATGCAGAACACCAACATTTAGCATTTAAACATTTAAACTGCTCAAACAGCATGGCAGCAGGGGGGCCTTTGCCTGCATTGTTTACACAGAGAGATCATTCCTTTCCTGCTTGCCTAAGGTCAAAAAATAAACACGCTGTTCATTTATCTTCCTTTATACCGATTCCGTTCCCATTTATCTTTGCTGCTCGCTCCTGTGATCACTTCAACTGAGTCGCTTTCTTTTTAACTGCTCGAGCAACATTTCCCACCGCACCCACTAATGAGCGGAGGGAGGAAATCATTCGTGGTGATTCCCAAACTTCGTAAATTATGCATGTGGACAGAAAACAAACACAAAATTGTTGTGCCAGGTCTTTCTTGAGCGTTGCCCCGAATTGAAATATGGTACATATTTACTCTGGCATATGTTCACATTGAGGTAGAGCAGCAGGGTGTTACTGGAGAGACTCAACCTATTTCCTTACAGGGTGCTTATCGAGACTGTTGAGGCGCATAAACTTAGAGAGGGGAAAACCAACATTTGGATATTTATCAAGTTATTAAACTGTTCGTGTATTTATTTGACAAGCTCTGTTTTCTCTCTCTACCTTCCTTAAAGCCAGCAGCCACGCAAGGGATGCTGCTGCAAAAAATGGCATTAACTGCTCGCTATCAGTTCTCTTGCTACGCTGTGAGGCGAGTGAGTCAACCAGCCAAAGCTTGTGGGTGCTGTAGTCTTTTGTTCCACAGGAACAGAGAACCAACATTCTGCCCAATGAGAGCTGTAGCTGTGGAACGCTAATGCTAAGTGCTAAAATGATCGTAATTTTCCTTTTGTTGAAGTGGTAGAGTGGTAAGAATGTACAATGTTTTTCATTGAACAAAAGGAGCCAAAGTCCTCAAATGTTAAATGTTGTCTTTGCCTATAGAGTCTCATTTACACCGAGAAGTTCCTGCTAGTGTTGGTCTCTTTTCAAGGAACTGAAAGGTTCCTTCAGCCCGTTGTCGTATGTGTTACCAGTGCAAAGATTAGGTAAGTTAGAATGTCGAGGGCTGCTGGTGGTCGCAGGGTAAACCGCCTGTGACTGCCCGCTTCATCTATAAAAAACCCTGTTGAACCGTAAGTTCGTCTCACTGTGATGACATTTACTGATGAACGCTGGATGTAATGAATGAAATGCAGAGGAGGAAAAACAAAACTAAGAGTGTTTGTCTCCACAGTGAATAATCTGAGCGTTTGATGCTTATTTATTTGTGCTTTGGAAAGTAACGGTCCTGAAACATTCAGAAGAACAGAAGTTTTTTTTATTCGTATTCACAGCGTTGCCACGTTGTCTCTCTCTTCTACTTTTTGCCCTGTTAGCTTACTCTTGTGATCTCACTCTCTTATTTATTCCTTTAAAGAGTCGGTAGGCTGACACCAAAGCCTAACTTTACTTTTAATGTCAATAAACAAACTGCCCAGACCAGGGCCTTCTTTCGGAGGGTAAAATGTCCCTGGAACTAAAATTAGACGCAGTGAGTTCCTCAAAAGGTTCAGAGTCTGGGGGGGAAAGTGTGACTAAATCAAAATGCATTTAATTTAAATCAGGAACTATCTGACTGAAGAATAAGTAAAAGAGACTTATCAGTTCTCTAAATATGAATGTCTGGTGATCAACAGTGTGCGACTGCAACAGCTGTGCTCAGCAAACATAACCAGACTTGATATTGGCTACTGTTAGTTAAATATTATTCCAAAGAAAGCAAAGACCAGATGATCATGTCGATTTTATCATAAGGTTGACTCGATTCCTTGGTTTTCGGTGGCTATCCAGAGCACTCCGTTGACTGTAACAATAGATTTGTTTTATGAACGTCGCAGCTAAAGGATCATCCATTATTGATGGCCCCGCGAGCATCTCCAGACGACTGCAGCAAGCTATCGATTTCAAATCAGCAGCCTTTGAGTCAAAGCAGGAATGATGGGACCTCATCACCGGCACAATGCAGCTTGTTGGAAAAAAATTAAAGTTCCACTCAGGGGGCCGACTCAGCAACATTCACAAGCGGTCAGACGCGCTCATTCAATATGGTGCAGATGTCTTTAAAGAGCCTTTCACTCTGTGGTCTCATTGAGTAAACGTCTTGTTATTCTGTTCCGAGCAATAACTAAAATACGCTGAGATACAACAACGCAACAATGCTTTCTCTGTGGTTAAGAAAAAGATCCCCGCTGACAATTCTCACACGATTCTTTTTTTCATCAGGCTTTCCAAGCAATTTATGTTCCTGTGGAGATGAGGGCATTGATTTTTCGTGGGCTTTTAAGGCCAGTGTGTTCTTCGGGGTGCCTGTTAGATAAACTATTGTTGTCACAGTAGGAGCCGTGTAGGTTTCAACTCCCGATCCATTATAAACTTAGACAACACACCGGGAATGTGAAGGATAGTAATTTCATACCTTTTAACTTTCAGCCATCATTATTACGGTTGATGAAGATTATTAGTTATTTTGGGCAATCGGTTTTTATTCGTTGGAAAATGTGAAGTTTGGTCGGGCACCAGCAGTACCATTATTGCTTTTATTTTGACAGAATGTCACACTTTATACTTCTTATGTTGTGGGTGTATATGAGATCCTTCTTAAGGGCTCTGACATGTACAATACCAAGATATGAAGCACGTAACTGTGTATCCATACAGTAATTACAGTTATAAACAGAATGCAGTGTATATTACTGTGTGCCTTTCCAGCCTGGAGTCTTTGAAGTTCACAGTTTTTTTTTTGAGTGAAGACATCGCTGTCGGTGAGAGAAGAAAAGGAGAGGAGCAATTAACGAGGCACTGGATGTGAGAAAAGTGTGTTCATTTCAAACCGTGTGGGCTCCAAAACTGAAATGTCAGAGTATTTCAGAACCTCCAGTTTGCGTTTTAATTATAAATTCCGCTGAATTATGAAATGTTAAAAGCCTCCATTATGTGCTGCAGCTCCATCCCACTCTTTAAAGTACTCGTAAACATAGGTTACTTTCACCTCAGCAAGAAGATACTGACAGTGCTGCCACGGCAGACCCACACACTAACCTTTATGTAACCGAAGTATGAAACCAATATGAAATCAGTTACTTCTCCTCTTGGGCTAGAAAGCAGCTGAATTACTGTTCCTCCCAACATGTTCATCCAGATCATTGGATACATAGCTTTCCTTTTATAGATCTACATTTTCACACACTTATGAGTCATATTGAAAGGTGCTAGATTCAGTAACCAGAGCATTAATACAGCAGCAGTTATGGTGTTGGCTAATTGGGGAGTTTTAAGTTTTTGATACTCCACATAAACTTTTGAAAAATGTTCAAAAAAAGTGAGACAATTAGCCTTACAACTTATCTATGTAAAATAAAAAAAGTAGTTGTCACAATAAATTGGATGTTTAATCTGAGAAAAGTGGTAAATATAAATTTAGTGAAGTGGGGTTATTTGTTGGTGGGTGGTCTCAGGGTTCAGGAAATGATGAACTACTCATTATTTTTTGTTTTCATGTTCTGGGGATGTTCGTCCAAACGTACGTGCGCGATATCCCAGGAACGCCTGCATGAATTTCATTTGAATTTCTTCAAATGTCGCACTAACGTGCACCCAATGATCAGCTGATTAGATTGTGGTGGTCAAAGTCACTGTGACATCACAAAACGGAGTTTGTGGCCGCAAAGCAAGAATCCATATTGCTTATTATGACAATTTCACACGGATGTCATCATGTTGCAGCGATGACATTTTAAACCGACACGGATGTAAACTGCCACTCGACTGGTTGGCGGAGGCGGAGGTGTCAGTCCTAGGTGAGAGACTGTGACTCCTCTGACTCTAGAATGGACTTGTAACACTCTGGCTGACTCATCACCACAAACATTGAACAGTTGGTAAATTCTGGCTCATTGTTCTCTTCAACAACGACTGCTAAGGCTCATGGGTACTGAAGTGTTTAGACCCATTCAACATACCAAACTGATGAACCAAATTTTCTCCTGTGCTACTCTTGAATTATCTAGCGTTATTTAAAATAATTAAAATTGTCGAATGCAAATTTGCAATTGGAGAAACACTGAGAGCGTAGAGATATCTATTTTTCCGCTGACATCACCAGCAAATGTTTGAATTCGAGGCAGCTGGAAATACAAGAAGTCGACTGTCAAAAATTAGGAGAACGCTTTATCACAACTAAGCTCCTGGAATGCAATAAATTATGGATGTACATCAAGCAGAGAGAGAGAGAGAGAGAGTATCCAACCGGTTTAAACTCTCGATGTGTGCTGTATCATTTCAGACACAAAGGTTAGGCAGCTCAGCTGGGCTTAATTCTTCTGGAGAGATGTCGGCATTGTGATCAATGTACAAGTGGCAAAGTAAATTTAAAAGATATTGCAGCGACTCGCGGAACTGCTATTGTATGAATGTCAGTGGGCATGGAACTGGACAGTCAGCAAGATCATAAAAGAGCATTATCTCGCTCTGCTGCTCCCCGAAGTTGTCGAGCCAATGCTCTTCTTAAGTCCCGCTATGTTGATGCTAGTTGTTGTAATATTGAGGCTGGGTTTTTCCCATTTCTCTTCCTCATCACCCTGCTGCCAATTTTTTGATCCACGTCTTGGGTGATTAATTCGTGCGATGTTTCGTTGTGATGCTCAGACCCTCTTTGACTTTCCAGATCTCTCTGCTGCCGTCCAGAAGTTCTCCCAGTCCCTGCAGGAGTTCCAGTTTGAGTGCATCGGGGATGCAGAGACGGACGACGAGGTGAACATTGGTAAGCTCAGTTTGGCCAGGAGGGCAGGTCCCTCTTTTTTTACTGTCTTTTATATTCCTCCCTCCCTGCTCTTCCCAATTAGTCAGCTTGTCACCTCAATCAGAACCTTGTCTTTCATTTCCCCAAGGATTCTCTCGGGAGATACTTGAACGCCATTACCAGTAGTGCTTACACGTCGCTCAAGAGCTAATGTCCTCTGGCTGAGGACCAAGTGCTCAAAGTATGCCATTATTTTATTTGAGCAATTGGACAGAAGTAAAAGAGGTAAATAGTGGAAAAGCGGGAGAGCTTTATCAGTCATTGGGAGCTGTTTTCAGACATTATCAAGCATACTGCTGCAAAGCCTTGCAATGGGATTTGGCTATTGTGTATAGATCTTAAAGTTGTCTGTGATCCATGCATAATTGATGCTATTGATTTGCTTATGATGCTTCCGCTGTATCTTTTCAAGCCTATAAGAGATCAGAGGGACTAATTGTGATCGGTGTCAGAGATTAATGGAGGTGCGAGCCTCCTAGCCTCCGACAGGAATATGAAAGCAGCTGTGCAGAGGGGCTCTTTGGCTCTAATGGGCAGGACTCCCAGTCTGGCCTCTTCTTCTTCTTTTTTTTTTTTTTGCACTGCTCATTATCCCCAGCTTGAGTCCTTCGCTCCGCGGCGCTGGAGAATGCTGAATTACTGTCCATCTGTGAGGGTCAGAGCGGATATCGACCTCCTCTACATGAGGCTGTAATGTTCATCTGAATGCATAATGAATGGTCCTGCTTTCCTTTTTCCTCCCAAAGCTGAAGAGGCTGTATGACAGCAGACCAATTGCGCCTATTGCAAAAATTCACACCTAAAATCCAAGCGTCATTAGAACTGTTAGAACCGGGCCACGCTTTAATTTGAGACAATGCGCGCCGTCCCTGGCCCCCGATCAAGAGCGGTGTCGATCTCAAATTGAACAGCGGGTATTTTTAGCTGCCCACCTGTTTAGTAGATGGGCCGGCTCAGTATTTACAGTGCGAGCGCCCTGGCAAGATGAGAGGCCAGTGGTTTTGGCCGCGCCTGTGGCTCAAAACGACAGTCTGTTTGGAAGCATTTTATTGACTGTCGTGATGCAGACAATCGTAAATCCGCTTGGGGATGCAACATTGGCATAAATAACATTTAAAATCAACAAATTGAGAGTGTGAAAAAAACACCAACCACCCTGTAATATTCTGCAAGACTTTACATGTCCTGCATCCACAGCACACAAACTCATTACTTACATGCAACAATAGCTCACTGAGTGCAACTACTGGGTAAGATATCATAGCGTTCAATAAAGAGAAATGATTTCCTCACACTCGAAGCGACACTGCCGTGTTCACTCACCATCTCAGACAGAAAAGGCCATGATTACAGTTTGAGAGGGAAGAAAAAAAAATGAAACAATCAATCTAGTCCTCAATGACGGTGAGCTTTCTGACTGACATAGCTGGACCCTTGCCTGAATGCCAGCCGTGATCTTGATGCGGTTTTGGTACAGATCACTTTGATGCTCCCAAACACCGAGAGCCTGCGTGGTGCCGCCAGACGTGCTCACCTGACCTTTTATTGATTTCGCTCTTCGACTTCCTGCAGTGACATTCACATTCCTCGCCAGTTATCCAGGAATCGATGGGGCCAAAAGATTGATGTGGCTACAGAAATTTAGATTTTTTTTGAGAGAAGTTACATGCCCTTCTCTCAGAAGGTCAGTCCTGCAGTCTCCAAGAGTCGGGTGAGGGTTCGATCTACGAAGTTGAATAGCCAGAAAGGCTTTCAAATCCATGAAATTGATCACAAGAACAAAATCTTATAATATGCAGAAAAACGCTGTACATGTACAGTAAATGTCTCTCTTTATTAATTTTTTTACTAGCCTTCTTTTTCGTCCACACTCTTGAGGTAGTGAATTGTATTCCCTCCGGTGATTCATCGGATCTATTGCCAGTGAATGATATGCGAGGCCTAACCTCACTTTGACTCCCATTTCCTTTTTCTTCTGAGTCTAATCTTGTCCCATCAGCGGCTCCAGCTGTGCCCTTTACCCCCTGAGAGGTTTGTGCTGTTGATAAAGGAGCTCGCGGCGTTAATAAGAGCCCAGCCGGCCTGCCTGCGGGGATCACTGGCACAAAATCATTACTCCCCGGTCCTTTTTTTTAAAAGCTTTGGTGTGCAAATGGACCGAAATGTCCAAGATGACGCATTTGGCTCCCCCCGTGCCTGGCCGTCTCGGCCAATAATGATATTACAGCGTTTTGGCAAGCGAGGCAGCTCGGGCCGCCGCTAATCGGCCGGACGCGGGGCCAGCACGGGGGCCGACCAACAGAGGCCGCGCTGTATCTGGCCCTCCATTTAATGAAGGTGTGGAGCCATCAGCTCTTCCGGGCAGATGAGTCTCGATGCGCTGCGTTCATCTGGCCCCTCAGAACATAATATAAGCTACTGAAGTTCTGTACGGCCCAGATGGCACGAACACATCTCGGCCACATCAGTCACTCCTGCGTGGTGGTGACAGCATATTGTGAAGCCTAGCAGGGGGATGAAAATAGAGAGACGCAATCAGTGGGTTCCATTCAATTGAAGTATCTTTTTTTAATTTTTTTTGAACCGCAAGTCTTGGTTTTAAATTGGACAGCTGTTTGATTTTATTAGGTTCTAAAACATGTTGCAGCGAAAGCTCCGAAAGCTGCAGTGCAAATAAACAATTTTAGCACCGTGCTACAGTGCTTGTGGGATGCCAGGAACATCTGATGTTTTAACGACTGAGCCACTGTGTTAAAGTGTACTTCCTTCTCCATCATCTGAGCATCACAACCCTGCACTCCCTTTAAAAATGTAAACATATTGCACAGGATGTGTTATAGAGCAAACACAGTATTTCACCTTTAATATGGTGTTGTCGGAATGATGTTTCTTTGTCTTTCAGCCCAGTCGTTCAAAGAGTTCTCCCAGCTGTTGACCACTGTTGAAGAGGAAAGAAGACGCTTGGTAAGAATGCACATCTCTTTGATAATATAGAGGATTTTTTTTGTAAGCGTATAAAACAAAATAGAGGAAGAGCACATGCTTTTCTCGCTTTAACGCTCTTTGAGGAAAAAGCATCTTGACAGAAATTGCTTTGCGCTGTCATATTTGTATTCACTTGGACAGGGGTGAAGTAGAGACATCTGGTGAAAAGAATGCGGTCTGCATTTCCCATCCCCCCCCCCCCCCCCCCCCCCCCGTGAACCAATGCAGACAGACAGGGCCGCTGCATTCTGATCATTTCTCCGTCACCTTATTCAGCTGTGGGAACACAATGAGGTTGGAATTACCCCGAAACTCCTCAAAGGGATACAAAGTCACAGTAGCAGGAACTGAGAGAGAGAAAAGCAGGTACTGAATACAGCTCCAGAACATGGAAGGCCTTGTTCTCCATTGATCTACTTGAACACTGCGATAAGTTTATTTCCCTTTGTGTACTTTTTCCCCGGCGTGATTTGGCTTCCCGGCTTTATGCTCCACTGCACGACATTCTCAGCTTCATCGCTGTGTCGCTCTTGTTTGTGCAAAAAGAAACCCGGGGCCGGCACTTAGCGTTTTTTTTTATTTTCCCCACAAGTAGACGTTTCAGAGAGGGTGCTGCATTTCAGAGAAGTGCCTCGAGGCAGGAATTACCTCAGTCCACACACTTCAGCCGTGCTTCTGATTTAGCAAGTCTGATACGCAAATGAGATCCGCTGCAGGTTTTATAACAGCCCAGGACTTTTTCATTAGGACTCAGCGCTCCGTAAAAGAGCAAACCTTTAACAGCCACCTTTTTTTCAGTCCAGGGATGGGGGAGCGAGGTTAGATACTGAAAAGACTTGGGGAGGCTTTTGAGGACAAACACGCGTTTGAGGTAATTCTAAGAACATGAGAGTATCGTGATTTTAAACTGCTAAAGCTCACCTTTTCACCATTTCTACATGAAGCGCAGATACACTGCACCTTATGCTTGACTGTGCGTTGCAGAGGCTTTACAGCAGATGCTGCTAAAATACAGGCTCGTCCTATTGATGTTAATACAAAGACTCAGACTCACGTGGCTAAATGTGAGCGTGTCCCTCCTGACATTCAGAGTGCAGCTAAATTTGCCCTTTTGAAGATGTGGGTCACCTCCGTGCAGGCCATGTCGCTTTGTGAAATATCGTGTCATCCTAATCAATTTGACAAGCGTGAAGTCACCATTCATCAATTCATATGGCCGATTTCTTTTTTTTCCTCTTCTCTTCTCACAACTCTGATCCTCGTAAATGATTTAATTGCCGTAGATGAAGCAAAGACCGGGACACCCCCGTCGGTCTGAACTTGCAATATTTTGGCTAATTTGGCAATTATGCAGAGCTTGAAAATAGTTTCTCAAGCAAGGAGAAAAAAAAAACACTTGCCAACAAACTCAGTGTGACACGGCCCTCACGCAGCGCCTCAAACTAGGCTCCGGCATATGGTGGTAACTCTGTCTCTCTGGTGCAGCGGTGGCCGTTCGACGGCTGTCGAGGACGATCAGGGCAGATCTGTGCACAGCGAGGTTGCGTTGTGTTTAAAAAAGCTTATCTTTTGTCACAAGGGTGACTGCATACAGTGGATATGTTGGGGTCAGGAATCTACATGGCACAAAGAGGGAAAAAACTGCTTTACAACTTTATGTGTTTCAGGCATTTGCATCCGCAAAAACAAAGAAAAAACGGCAAATGCAGGTATCTTATGTGAAAAAAATCATTTAATTGCAAAGAAAGAAATCGAGATGACAAGCAAAGACGGACACGGAAATGAAATGAGGAGAACGCACGATTGCAAAGTGATGGCAATAACTTGTAGCGGTGACTAGTCACAGAGGCTATAGGATGCAGCACTTCATTCAGCTGTGGTACATTTAATAAGTAGAAATCTATTCATAGCACACACTCCCCCCACCACCCCCACGTACTGCATCTCCTCTCTACTTGCTTGAAAGGCATCCTCTTTGCATCATCTCCTTTCTCTTCACCCTTGCAGTCTTCTGTCTCATCAGATCACAAGGAATACGCGAGAAACGCCGCTCTGATCCCTGCACTTTGAGCTCCCGGTTGATCGTAATGTTGGCGATGAAGCTTGTTCTCCACTTGCACGTGTTTGAAGTCTCCTGGGACACAAGTGGCAGCAATGTAACTAAAGTCATATGTAAACTTTGTATTTTTATAAATCCACAAGATGCGGAAAATGGCTTTTTTGATATAGATTTTCAAGAAGATGATACCGAGGTGGAGCGCACTTTGAAGTGAAAGCAACCTGCTCCTGCATATGAACTTTAAGCTGCACCTCACTTGGTGGTGTAAAACTATGGTTGACGTTCACAGAAACAGGCCGTGTATGCCAAGTACAGTGATTATTAGGCAGGTTGCCAGGGACGTGACTTCCATCAAGCGTACTTGTATGTCTCAATTTCATTCACAGTTTTCACTACAATGCCACATTGGCATGAATTGAGCTCCATCGTAAATAATTAAAAAGCTCTTGTATGTAGTCCAGGCCAAAATAAATATAGATTCAGCATTTAAAAGCTGCATTAATTGTCGTCATCAGACACCAGAAACTCTACCCGGATAAGCAGCTCTGCATGCTAATATAGTTTGATTCCAAGGCTTGCTATTATTCTTTTGGAATTTCTCACCCCACGTATGACCTTAACTTGAATGGGAATAAGCTTTTAATAATACATCAACATCGAGTTATGCAGTAATATATTGGAAATATAGGTCTTCATCTGCCTCCAGATTGAATCCAGATGTTGAGCTTTTACTTAAAGGGGAACATTGCCTAAATGAAGCATTCAATTATGTTACTTCTATGCCTATATTCTACTGTGGTGTTTTCAGTTGTAAAACAGAAAATGTACCCATGTACCCCTTAAGGACATCAAAGATTTGAGTTTGAGTACATGGATTTTGTATTTGGGAGAGAGTTGTTCATGTGTACTTACAGTGTATATGTTTGAACTGTCTCAGACCGTCGGAGTAACATGTATGAATTTTGAAAGTGGGTTCAGTCCCCCTTTAATTCATATTCTATAGCGTACATGATCTTATTGAGTTTTACAAGCTGTTCGATTACAAATACATCCGCTGAGCTTTGCAAAGTCTCGGCAGCGACCTTCCTAACTACAGTCTGTACCCTATCATTTCCAAACATCCTAGAACTGTGATAAACAGCTTGGATAAATCACGTTTACTGTGTGAGATCCAGATGTGTCGGGTGAACATTTATTTTTCACTATGCTAAAGATTGGATGAAGCCGTCATAAAGTCGCAAGCTGAAATGGCATTAGTTGCTGAGAGAGAGAGAGAGAGAGAGAGAGAGAGAGAGAGAGAGAGAGAGAGTAAATGCTCCCATAAAAAGTAAATAATGTCAGATTTGTCTTTTAATCATACCCATTTGTAGAATGAATGCAAAGGGAACGCAGTAGTTCTCATAAAGTGGCCATAAAGCCATTGTGAGCATATTATATTCTGCTCCCCGGTCATTAAATCACTGTTCCACGAACCAAAAGCCTCTTTTTAAAGTGTAAAGGCCAGGATAATGGTCTATTTTATGCCACCAAATATACAACTGATATATTGTTCCACAGCTGTTCAACAAACTAATTGTTTAGACCCCATGAGGAACAAGAGAATACAGCGAGATAGGTTTTTCCTTTCATGACTTGCATTCATGTGTTTCACCAACATGTCCGCACGCTCTTCATCATATTGATACGAATGCAGTGAAGCTCAGCGAACACGACAGCAGAAGATGGAGAAGTTACAATGGAACCTTTGTGGAGACACTTATGTTGACGTTTAGTTTGAGCATGTATAGTATTTCTACAGTGAAATTCAGATTTTGAAGTGCTTCGTGTGCTGGTTTCCGACAGCTGTATCAGTGCAACATGTTGTGCTGTCTCCAAACGGCACACTGTGTGCGTGTCTCACATTGAGCTGTACGACGGTACAAAAGCAGGGATGACAGCGTGCTTACTACAATGTGCAGATGCGTGATTGTCAGGTAGAAAACGCACATATTCAGCTGCCTGTCATTGGCTCAAATATTGTTCAGTGTCAAGCTATGAAAGACGGAAATCGTATTTGTCGGGGGCGCTTTTTGCACCGAGCACCTTTTCATTTCCATGATACACTGTTTCACCGTCACATGAGAGAGCACACAGAGGAAATTCCTGAAATGTTTCCCAGATCGGCGCCGTCATAGTGTGCGCATCTGGTCGGGCGAGGCAGGCAGGGGAAAGTACGGATGACCAGAAGGTTTTGTTCTGTTTTTTTATGTCATTTGAAAGCAGTCGGTCTGCCGAAACTCAATTAGCTCAAACCGACACGTGTTCGCCAAAATCTGTCTCAACAAGGGAGGGATGCTACCCGCAAAACATGAAATATTGTGAATTATACTAGATGAGGCTCGACTTTCTGCTCTACTTAAACTGCAATGGCTGCCAGATGGTGCTTCTATTTGTAAGGTTTGTAGCTGCTAAAGTGATGGCGGCGGATAGCGCAGTTGTATCCACACATTGGTAAAAACGTGTCACCGTCACGCTGAATGGTGTCTAAACTCACAGCAGCTGATCCTGAGAGAAAAAAAAAAACAGATTCCCGGCCCCATCATGCTAACTCCATCTCCACCATTTCACATCTGCACTGAATCTCCGCACTGCAAATAGAAGGACACGGACTGATAAGAGCCACTGATACGCAGACGGAGAGGAAACCTAGTGTGTCTCACACGGGGCCTCCTGTCCTCAGTGGAATGTTAACCAGCACACTAAGGTGCCTCTGCTGCAGCGGGATGGACTCTCACCAATGGCCCAATTTCTGTTGGCCTTGTCAAGCATGAAGCCCTTTATTGTCTGTTGGTTTGGCGGGTGGCCAGGCCTGAAATCTTTTTTTTTTTTTTTTTTTTTTTGTGTTGCTCGGGCACTTTGTGATTGGCTCACCAGCTACCCC